CCAAGTACCTTCGCAGGATTTTAAACACAGTATAAGAGCTTTATTTGCAGTTGTCACTTTAAATCCAATGCTTTCATACTCTGACACGTATTACAAGAAAATGAAAGGTTTTTTTTAACTTTAAGGCTACTTTCTCTGGGGACTACAAGTATTAAGAGCAAACTTCCATGAAGTGATAAATTCTTCTCTTCATAATCTGAAATTCAGTAAATTCAGTGTGGGGATGGAAAGGGCATAAGTGAACAGTACTTCAAACATACTCAGAAGTAAATCCCATAGAGTTAGAAATGGTTGAAATGTTCACACAGTTATCTGGGATTTAGACAGTGTCAAGGCCAAGGAAAAGACCGGTTTAAGAACGTCAAACTGCCTTCTAAGTTCTTATTTAATAAAACTGATGTTAAAATGTGCATTTTGACATTTTGAATAAGAATTTTAACTCAAGCAGAATTCACTTCCAGGCTGTTCCTGTGGTTGTCAAGTCTGAAACAAGAGCATGTTAAATGGAAAAGCCGTAAACACAGAAATAAAATATCTCACTTTTTTTTTTTTTTTTTAAAGGATGCTAACTATGTCATGCGTAATTATATGATAAAGTTTTATTACAAGAAATTCAATCTCAAATATAGATGTTTACAATCAGAACATACTGGAGGAGTAAATTCTGTTCCAAGGAAAATAATTTTTTTATTAAAATGCATCCCCTTTTTCTTCATAATACTCGAACTCACTTAATAGAAAAATGGGTATACGTGTAATTTCTGTGGGAATTTTTTCCACCCCCTACAGAATAATCTGGTGGAGAGAGGAAACACTTGGTTCCTTGTCTCAAAAAGTGTAGAAGAGCAGAGTTGGGAAGGATTTCCAGTATTTCCAAAACATTTCTCCCATGCCCTCTATATTATAGTGAAAGAAAGGTAGAGTTCCCTGCTTGGGATTGATTTTAAGCACTTGGGTTGTGCTGCTGCTTTACTGTTTGCGTGCCCACACCTCTGCATGTTTTCAGTGAGGACAAAGACATTTCCTCCAGCTGCTTGCAGTGTGGGCAGGCAAAAGAACACACCCAGCTTCAGGTTTGAAGCCATTAGTGGGGATTTTGGTTTCTTTTTTTTCCCCTTCCTCACTTCTTTTGAGCAGATAAGACATGCTTGGTTCTCCTTTTGGTAGATTCAGAGGGAGAGCGTATGCATGGCAGGCATGTGCTACCTGCTCGTTTCTCACTCTAGCACATGGCTGCTCTTTGTTCCTCCTCTGGCTGCGAAGCATAAGGCTCCCTGCTACAATCAGCTAACTTATTGGAGCAAGGGATCTGCTCATTAGGAACCTGAATATACAAAACCAAACACAGGACTCAGTAAAGACTTTGAGGGATGTCCAGAAAGAAAAGATCTAATGTGTCATAGAGATTAGTCTGTTGTCCCAATATTGGTTTTTATTTGCTTGCTCTTGAATTCCAGTTCTGCTGTGTTTTCAGTTCTTTTTCTAGCAGTTCCTTACTTTCACTTTTAAAAATGTTACTCTAAAGGCAATGATTATTAGATCAGTAACTATAAAAAGAGAAAAGTATAAAAACATATTATGCAATTCACCTTTTTTCCCCCCATATGCAATAAGCAGGGGCCTTCTTCCACCGAAAAACCCACCCCCCACCCCCCCGCCAAGGAAACACTCCAAACCTCTCAAAATTATGTGCCATAACTATGTCCTTTATTTATATTGAGAAAATATTT